GATATCAATCTTTATGTGTTCCATTTCATTTTTGACAACTTCCAATTTTCCTAGATTCATACTTCATACATTCCACGTTCCGATGATTAATGGATGTCTGCAGCTTTTTCTCTTCAATTTGAGTGGTGCCACATCAGCAAATGGAGGTCTCGAAAGCTTTACCTTATCCATAGGAGTAAGGCTGGGTTTACTAAGATGATGCAGCTCTTTCCCAGTCCTATTTTGAGAGACTTCTAATCTAACCGGACTATTCATAAAGTTGTGCGGTAATGTATCAAACAGTGTTTCTTTGCTGTTCATAAGGTTTTCCTTGGCCAATTATTTGAGACGTGGACGGCCTCCTCCTTCTTCCTAGTCTGTCTCAGTCTGTAGGCTGGGCTGATACCTGTGCACCACGTGCATCCTGCTGGGTTAGAAACACCGGTGGCTCAGCCTCAAAACTCACATCAACACATCACCATGGTAAGACAAACCGACAGACAAGTTTGCCTCCCTGTTGGGAACCTCTCATATCACCCTTACCTGGGTCTCTGAGGCTGACTCCTCCTACTGCTATTAGAGGTTAAGAGCAGTGGTTAAGAGCATTCTGGAGCCAGATTGTCAGGATTTGAACCCCAGCTCTACTCATGACTAGCTCAGTAACCTTGGGCAAGTTATTTAACCTCCGTGTGCCAGAGTTTCCTCATAGTTATTGAGGATTAAATGAGTTAAATTTATGAAAAATTGCTTAGGACAATGTTTGCTATTATTTCCTCTTATCTATTACTATCACCACTATCACCACAACTGAAAAAACCAACCAACCAACCAACCAACCCATTAAACCCAACGCCATTGAGTCAATTCTGACTCATAGCAACCCTGTAGGACAGAATAAAACTGCCCCAAATAGGGTTTCCAAAGTTGTAAATCATTACAGGAGCAGACTGTCTCATATTTCCCCTATAGAGCGGCTGGTGGGTTCAAACCACTGAACTTCTGGTTAGCAGTTGAATGCTTTAACAACTGTACCACCAGAGCTCCTTTACAATTAGTTAACCTTTACTGAGTACTTAGTATGTGTCAAGAACTAAGTGTGTCACATATTTTATTTAATCTTCTCAACAATCTCAAATAAAGTAGATACTAATACCATCCACACCTTCCCAAGGAGAAAAAAGGCACAGAAATGTTATTTGCCCAAGGTTACCCAGCCAGTATATTTACCAAAGGAAATGCAGTCCTCTCTCAATCCTTTCCACTGAATCTTTTTCCCAAGAGGATAATGATATTTGCCACCCCTTAGATTTCTGTTCCAAAGTTTGCAGGCTAAGGGCAGATGAGGTCAGGAGACTGGAAGTTATAGCAAGATTGCTACTTGCCTACCTTGCACACAGACAAGAAGACATATTTCCCTAGATGCTTTCATCTCTTTTCCCTAACCAATTATAAAAATACATATTCACATTATAAAACAGAAAGTAATTCTGTTAATTTTGTATGATACATTGTTTCAAAGTAGTTAGCATGAATTTATTCTAACATTCCAGAAAGTTTCCAGCTTTTAAAAAACTAATTTTTGTAAGATATTTTAAAAAAGAATGCACATCTTTTTTCTTCTGAACATTTAAGGAAAATAAGAATAGAAAGAACAATTTTAAAACTAGAAGAGAGTCTTCATGACAACAAAAAAAGCAGAAAGAGGATTTTGAACTTTAGAGTGTTTCTAAAATAGGAAGTTAAAAAGGAACAATTTACCTATAGTGATGCTTCTGTACTCTAATCTGCTTTGCTGACATCTGCTCCTATACATTGGAAACCCTGCTGTTGGAGGAAGTCCCTTGCTAAGTGCTCTATGAACTATGTCAGATGAGCCTGGCTTATCACAGTATTGTAATAGATACAACATTACCCTTTCTGTCCTATCAGCACAAAATAGTCGAGTGTGATGTCTCTTCTGAACTACAATGTAAGTTATTCCAGGTTGATAGTCTTTCTCCAAACTGATGCAGGCTTCTCGAATTGCTAGTAGTTCATAATACAGTACCTAGAGAAGATGAAACAGAAAGATCTGAAAGCTGTTCCCTTTTACATGCTTCAAAGTAAGACAATGATTTGATTTCAGGACTTCTTCATCTCAGTTTTCATAGCCAAATACACTTCTCCATTCTGTCTTCACAATTATCAGAGGATGGTCTTAGCAAATCAAAGTTTGCACATCCATATCTCCGGTGAACATTGTAAAAAGAATAATCTGATGAAGCATCAAGATTTTTAACTTCAGAACTGGATATTATATTATAAATATGGTATTGGATTTAACTGTAGTATCATGAGATCTCAACCAACCAACCTGCCTAAACTGTCCCTCTGAAACACCATCCCGATAAAAGATGATACGAGTAGGTTTGAACCGAGTTGACTTATAAAATTGAATGAGAAGTTCCCGGACCATGGAAGCCAAGTCCTGGATGATCTCCTGTCGGGGTCTCTGAACTCTTACTGTGGCACAATATCTGCTTGGGTGAGCATCCATACTTCCTACAACCTAGATTAGAGTAAGAAAAAAGAAAAAGTTAAAATAATAAAAACTAAATCGATTTCATTTACATTTGTATTTTACTATAATCTTATTATTTATTGCAGTTCAGTTTGAGAATAATCCAAAATACATTATTCCTCAGAGAGAGAACAGAATAAAAGGCCCCAGTATAGGTTCAAAAATGATTTTCCTGTAAGTAGTCTGCACTTTATATTTAAGAGTTAGAATCTAATCTACACATGTTGCTGACCTGAAGAGATTAACTGAGGTAAGTGACCTGAAGAATTAAGTGAGGAAAGAGTCAAAATAACATCACAAACTGAGTAAGAGGAAAGATGTAAGAAAAAAGATGACCCATTCAAACCTTTGACTTCTCTTCAGATTTCTTCTACTTTAGCAATTCTCTCCAAAAGTCACACTTGAGAATTTGGCATTATCTTAAAGCTTTTATGCTTCATAAACTTTAAAATCAGAATTTTCCTTCTTGTACTACAATTTCTTAGACTTCAGTCTCTCCCAGTCCCTCAGTCCCACAAAACACTGCTCTTTTGCCTTAATGATTCCTTTAGACCCCAATGAGGTGGTTAAGTTGGTATGTCACCTTGGCTGGGCCTGTTTGAGTGGCTGAGAAGCTGAATGTAGTTAATCCCCATAGTGAGATTGGTAATTAACTCCATGGTGGAATCTAATGGAGAGCTAAGTAGCTGCTTTGGGTCTGTGGTCTGCTCCCATAAATAACTAACAGCTTTGGGGACGGACGGTCTCTAGCTTACGGCATGCTTAGACCCTGCATGTAGCCATGTCAATTGTTCAGCAGCCAGCTGACTTTGCGAGACTTTCAGTAGACTTGACTTAATGGCCTGCCATGTGGTTTGGTAACATCAAGACTGTGCCTTTTTACTTGTCAACCTTGGGCTTATCAGTCTCAGCAGCTAACAGCTGTCTGAGTGAAGAAAAGCCTCTACCTTGAGTGGGCTGGGAGCAGGAGGCAGAGCTGAAGCCCAAGATTGAGGGGCTCTCATCCAGCCCCTAGAGCCTGGCACTTTGAACTCAGACTTAAAGCCTCCAAACTGTAAGAGAATAAACTGTTTGTTCAAGCCATCCCATCTGTGGTATATTCTTGTCAGAGAGGCACTAGGTAACCAGAACACCAAACTACCATCAATTCTACTAATCTATCAGCTCCTTCTTGATTTCATTTCTTCCTGGACTCCATGGTTAGTCAACATCAGTATTTTCAGGTTCCTCAGTTTTTTCCATTTGTCAAGGCCAAACCTGAATCAATTAAAGCCTGTATTCTATGCTTCTATCCCTGGACTGTAAAGCACACATGGGTGGAAAACAAACAAAACAAAAATCTCTCTGACAGCCATTATAAATTGTGCTTTCCAAGCTGGTATGAATTAGGTACTTTAACTGTTGAAATGCTGAGTACCTATGGATTCTTCATATTGCTCACAGCCAACGTTTGATTTTCTCCAACATGTTCCTTTATGCATTTCTCAGAATCTACCTTCTACCTCAAGCTTCCTACCAGATACAGATTCCCTTATATTAGGAAAATGCTCACCAATTCTTTAATTCTTCCTGTATCATGATAGGAAACATCTCTTACTGAACATTAAGCTCTTTCTGTACCTGTCCTCTTTATCCACGCTACCCTATAAGGATGCTGTACCAACAATAAACTCTTCTCTTGTAATTTTATTCATTCTCTTTCCTCTGGCTCTCCTTTATTCATAGTCAAATATTCCATACCCTACAAAAATATCCTTGGACTATGCTGTCTCCTCAAGGAAAACTAAGTACCTTTATTAAATCTTTATCTGTCCTTTAAACTCCTATTACATGTGCCTAAAAGTAGATTTTCTAGGTTGCAGGGTATGCATATCTTCCACTTTATTAAGTATTCCCAAATTGCTCTCCAAAGTGGTACACCACTTTATTCTCCCACATGCCATGTATGAGATCATGTCCTCATCAATTTGCTAACACTCTACTGTTGTTATTGTGTGCCACTGAGTCACAGTGACCCTATAGGACAGAGCAGAATGGCCCTATTAAGGCTCCCTAGACTGTGATCTGTTTATGGGAACAGATCATCAGCTCTTTTCTCCCATGGAGCCACTGGTGGGTTCAAACCACCAGTTTCAGTTAGTAGTCAAGCACTTAACCATTGCATCATCAAGACTCTTTTTTTTGTACTTCAGACTTAATTTCCCCCCCTCCCCCCAATCAACGGGGTAAGAAACAATCATTCACTTCTGCTTCAATGTATACTTCCCTGATTATTAGGGAGACCAAGCATCTTTACTGATCATTCAGGTTTCCTCTTCTGTAAATTGCCTCTTTATATTCTGGTCCCTTTTTCTACCAATAACTATACAAAAAGGAATAACAGTGTCATGAAACCAGGAAGAAAGGCACTAAAAGTTTGCTTCAACATATCAGCTGGAGGAATGTGGACTTGGCATTGGCCTTTTAGCATTTATTGTCTTTTATGAATATTTCAAGTCTGATAGCCAAAGTCAGCTGCCTCATGGTCTATGGTAGATGGCAGGTTAGACATGACTGACAAGGATGTCCCTGTGGGTAAGGTAGCCAGCAACTTTAGGTCCTTAGCGGTATCCTGCTTGTGACGCAGAAATGAACAAATCATGGTTTTGATCACTGAAGTCACTCCAGACTGAAGAATGAGACAGAATTTCATTCACCTGTTCTCTATAGGGCAGGCTTTTGAACATTTGAAATGTAAATAATTCATGTTGTTGTTGTTACGTGCCGTTGAGTTAGACCCGACTCATAGCGACCCCTCCTTGGGTTTCTGAGGTGGTATTACTATAGAAGTAGATTGCCCAACCTTCCTTCCGAGGAGTGGCTGGTGGGTTTGAACTGCCAGCCTTCTGGTTAGCAGTCAAGTGCCTTAGGCATTATGCTACCAGCTCCTAAATAATTCATATATAACATTATATGTAACATTAAAAATACAAAGCAATAGATAAAAGCCAGTTTTACTCACTAATGAAAAGAGTTTTAGGATCATTAAAAATTTAAATGTCAGTATCATTTTTAAGGACAAATGAAATTTATTGGGCTGTTAAAACTTAAAAATTATGTTCAGATTATTACAGTGAAGAAAAGAAAAAATATATAAAGTCTTGTAGTTTAATTTCTGAAACTATCAAATATGCCTAGAATGTGATGACATTTTCAAACTGTTGGCATTTGTTAAAAATTAAATGATTTTCAAATCGAGTAAATAATACCTAGCTTTTTGCAGTTAATGAGAAAAACATTTAAAACAAATTGACCTAGGTAAGTTACAAACAAAGAGGTAAGCAAAAATGTAACATAGCAGTTGCTGTTGAGTAGATGCTGACACATGGCAACCTCGTGTGTTAGAATACAACTGTGCTTCACAGGGATTTCAATGGCTGATTTTTCAGAAGTAGATCACTAGGTATTAAAAGCAGGAGAGGAAGTATTAACTGGATGAAGGCAGAAGATATTTTATATTGAAAAAAGTATAATCTACCAAGTTTATACATTATTCATCATTTTGCAACAAAAGACATTACTGAAATACATACACAAATTCTTCAAATTTTAAAAAAATAACTAAAAATCACATAATTATGGGGAGATCAAGCAATGCATGATACAGAAGATTTTAATAAAATAATTAACAAACTTGGTTTCAAAGATATCTATGGAACTTTTATGGAATAGATTTGATGCACTGAACACTAATGACCAAAGACCAGAAGAGATGCAGGTACTATCAAGGACATCATACATGAAGAAAGCAAAGGGTCATTAAAAAAGCAGTAAAGAAAGATAAGACCTACATAGATGTCAGAAGAGATTCTGAAACTTGTTACTGAATGGAGTAGCTAAAGCATTGAAGTAAAAGGGTTGAGCAGCAGTGCAAAATGACAAAGAATAATAAAATGTGCAAAGATCTGGAGTTAGAAAACCAAAAGGGAAGAGCATGCTCAGTATTTTTCAAGTTCAAATAATTGAAGAAAAAATTCAAGCCTCCAGTTGCAATGCTGAAGGAGTCTATGGACAAAAAACTGAGTGAAACAGGAAGCATCAAAGAAAGATGGAAGGAATACAGAGTCACTGTCCCAAGAAGAATTGGTTGGCATTCAATCATTTTAGGAGGCAGTATATGATCAAGAACTGATGGTATTGAAGGAAGAAGTTCAACTTGCACTGAAGACACTGGCAAAAAACAAGGCTCCAGGAGTTGATGGAATACCAACAGAGATGTTTCAACAAATAATGCAATGCTGGAAGCACTCACTTCTCTATGCCAAGAAATTTGGAAGACAGCTACCTGGCGAATGGAGTGGAAGAGATCCATATTCATGCCCACTCCAAAGAAAGATAATCTAACAGAATGTAGAAATTACTGAACAATATCATTAATATCACATGAAAGCAAAATTTTGCTAAAAATAATTCAAAACTAGTTGCAGCAGTACACAGACAGGGAAATGCCAGAAATTCAATCCAGATTAAGAAAAGGACATGGAATGAGAGATATTATTGCTGATGTCAGATGGCTTAAAGCAGAGAATACCAGAAAGGTGTCTACCTGGTGTTTCATAGACTACACAAAAGCATTCAACTGTGTGGATCATAACAAACTATGGGTAACATTGTGAAGAATGAGAATACCAGAGCACTTAATTGTGCTGATGTAGAACCTGTACATAGACCAAGAGGTAGTCGTTCAAACAAAACAAGAGGATATTGTGTGGTTTTAAATCAGGGAAAGGTGTGCGTCAGGGTTCTCTTTCACATATTTATTCAACCTATATGCTGAACAAATAATCTGAGAAATTGGACCATACGAAGAACAGGTCACCAACACTAGAGGAAGACTCATTAGCAACTTGTGATATGGAGATAACATAATAGTTGCTAAGAGTGAAGAGGACTTGAAACATTTACTGATGGAGATCAAAGACTACAGTCTATAGCTTATTATAGATACAAAAAAGAAAAACCCTACAAACTCACTGCCATCAAGTCGGTTCCGACTCATAGCAACCCCTCCTTGGGTTTTCGAGGCGGTATCTCCATGGAAGTAGATTGCCCAGTCTTCCTTCTGAGGAATGGCTGGTGGGTTTGAACTGTATTATAAATACAGGCGGTATAAATTATATCTCAGCATAAAGAAAACAAAATCCTCACAACTGGACCAATAAGCAACATTAAGATAAATGGAGAAAATACTGAAGTTGTCAAAGATTTCATTTTTTTTTTTGGTCTTCTTACATCTCTTCCATGATCAATGCTCATGGAAGCAGCAGCTGAAATTAAACATGAGTATTACATTTGGCAAATTTGCAGCAAAAGACCTTTTGAAAGTGTTCAAAAATAAAGATGTCACTCTGATGACTAAAGTGTACCTAACCAAAGCCATGGTATTTTTCATCACCTCACATGCATATGAAAGCTGGACAAAAAAAAAAAAAAAAAAAAAAGACGACGACTAAAGGAGGATTGATGTATCTGAATTGCAGTGCTGGTGGAGAATACTGAATGTACTAGATTGCTAGAAGAACAAGCAAATCTGTTTCTGAAGAATTACAGCCAGAATGCTCCCAAGAAGCAAGAATGGTGAGACTTTGTCTTGCTTACTTTAGAAGTGTTATTGCTGTTGTTATTGTTATGTGCCATCGAGTCGGACCCAACTCATAGTGACCCCTCCTTGGGTTGCCGAGCCAATATCACTATGGAAGTAGACTGCCCCATCTTCCTTCCGAGGAGTGGCTGGTGGGTTTGAACCGCCAGCCTTCTGGTTAGCAGTCAAGTGCCTTAGCCACTGTGCTCCCAGAGCTCCCAGAAGTGTTATTAGAAGGGAATAACCATTGGGGACATCATACTTGGTATGGTAGAAGGTCAATGAAAAAGAGGAAGACCCTCAATGAGATGGACTGATACACTGGCTGCAACACTGGGCTCAAATAGCAATGACTGTGAGATGGCATAGGACTAGGCAATATTGTTATACACAGTGTTGCTATGAGCCAGAACTGGCTTGATGGCACCTAACAAAACAACAACAAAAACATGGAACTTGTGGCTCTTGAACTAGTGAATAATTACTCTTTTTAAAAAATGCATAGGACATTTATAAAAATCAAGTATAAATTAAGCTACAAAGAAAATATAATTAAAATTTAAAAAAGTTGAAACCAAAATGTTGATATTCGCCTACACCTTAGGTAAGATAAACCTACTTATTGACACTCACAGCAGCAATAGAAGGTTTCTTCCCATCACCAGCAGGTGGATGAGTGACATCTGCTCCCAAAAAGATCACTGGTTGCTGGAACACAGAAGGTCTTAAACACATTTTTAAAAGAGTTAGAAAATTCACTTTTTTCATTATTCATTTATCTATTTCACATTACTATAACACAACTGCAAATTGCTGACAGAGCAAAGAGGAGGTCTTTTATAGATAGCTTTCTTTATAGGCCTGAGTTTTATTCTCTTAATTCACGAATTTCTAGTGAATGAAATAAAAGATGTCACAATGGGTCTATCCAATGTCTTGTTCCGAGTAGTTTCTATCTTTAGCAGTGGTGCTGGTAGATGCAAAGGGCAATGTCATAATTGCCCTAAAATGATAAATTTTCCTATATCATTCTACCAATTTTTACCAATCTTTCTTAACGATTTTTTTTTCTTTTCGTTGTTCTTTTTTTCAAAAATTTTTATTATGATTTCGGTGAAAGTTTACAGAGCAAATTCTTTTTCCATATAGCAGTTCATATACACTTTGTCTCATGACACTGACTGTAATTTCCCACAACACAATAGCTCTTTTCCCACTTTTCCCCCATAGTTACCTTTTCCCTGTGTCCTTCCCTCCCATGCAATCCTGCCTCCTGAGCTTTGACTTTTAAGGTTATGTAATCTCTCAAAGACAAAAACAATCATTAAACTTTAGACAGTAGGAGATCGTGGGAGTCTCTTACTCCCCTCCTCTGGCCAAAAGTATAAACCTGTATTCATTAGACATAAAGTAGCTAACATTTCTTTTTATTTTAAAACTATATAAGATTCAAAGGGCTATCATGTAGGTTTTAGATTGGCTGATAAAAATTTGTACAGGTAGTCCCTGACTTACTGATGTATTTGAGTGATGACGAACTACAATTTTTTAAAATATACTTTTCCTTAATATGTACTACATACTATGTTGCAGCATGTAGTTTCCTGACTTACTGACTTACAATGGAGTCGTTAGAATGGAACCCCGTTGTAAGTCAGGGACTACCAGTATTCATCTCCTTTATGAATCTCATCTCATACTTAGTAAGGATTGAAGCAGAGGCAAAATGGAAAAAACAGAAAAAAAAGGGTTTTTATGTCAAACACATAATGGTCCATACTTACTCTAATTCATGGTGCAGAGTGGCTAACATACTTAATTTTTTGAACCTCAGTGGCTTCAACTACTAAGTAATACCTTCCTAACAAGTATATTTGAAAGATGAAAACATGCAGTATACCAAACAGTACATTTTATTATTTATTTATTTTTATTGTGATTTGGGTGCAAATTTACAAAGCAGATTCGTTTGAACAGTACATTTTAGTACTCAACAAATAAATGCTAGTCCTCTCTCTAGCCCTCCTTTCTTCCTCCCATCACAGTGGTATTATAGAATTAAGTAATCCAGGATGTGATTTTGCCTTCATATTGATGCCAGAAGATTCATCCTCTTAAAACTATGATAGAGAACCTGCTGTTCAATTCTCCTAATGATAGTCTCTTCCCTAGTGCCCTGTACAATTAGCTCATTTCTGCTAATGGGTCATGATGACTCATACTTCCTATCTAAGAGGTGATATATTGTCCCACTGACTGCAGGTGTATCTGGCTTTCCTAATTGACAAGCTATACACCCCTCAGCCTCACGCCATTCCTCCGCCTCATTTTCTGATGAGTGAGTAGCCTCGTGAAACTAAAATCAAGGCTGAAGATGACTTCTCAATAGAGTCAGTGAGAAATAAACAAACCTCTCAAAGTCCGAAAATTTATACTTTCTGGCTGAGTGAGAGGTATTTGGATTGAATAAAAATGAAGGGAGAAAAGGGAGATTTACACAAGGGAATCTCTTAAGCTGGTCAATTCAAACTCCTTAATTTTTTGCTGAAATGTCTATCTTCCATGGTTAGGAATCATCAAAGTTATCTCATATAGAAAGATAGTTACACACTGCAATACACAGAAAAATAAAGATAAGAAAAATAATATTTTTATAAGTGATTAGCTTATCTTACCTTTGATGAGGTACAAGAATATTATTTATCCCTCCGAGTTTAACATTTATTTTTAGGCACAGGTTTGAGAGAGTTTGAGGAGATGTTTTTATTACATTCTTGACTTGAACACACTGTGTAGCCATACCCAAAAGTGTGTCTCCTACACGTTTCACCTCAGCTACAGAACAAATGAAAATAACCTCTAGTTAGAAAAAAGGCCAAACTGTATTGAAAATAAAACTACTATGTTTCCCTACCTTTATATACATTACTATATTACAGGAGGCCAACAATTATAGCAATACTAAAAGTATGCTGTTAAAATTTATACTGCTTTGAAGAAGATTAGCTTAAGTATTTAGTGATAATTTTTCTGATTATTTTTTTCTTTTTATAAAACATCTATTATTTTTTAAAAAATGGTATAACCACAATAATTAAAAACCACAAGGAGGAAACAACATAAATGTCCATCAACAAGTGAACTGATAAAATGTGGTACATACATACATACAATGGGTTATTACTCAGCCATAAAGAGAAATAAAGTACTGATACATGTTACAACATGGATTCGCCTTGAAAACATGATGCTGAGTGAAGTCAGTCAGTCACAAAAAGATGTATATCTTATGATCTCACTTATATGAAATATTCAGAATAGCCCATGGTATAAAAACCAAAGTTTTATTAGTGATTACCAAGGGGTGGGAGGATGGGGGACAGGGAGAGTCACTGTTTAGGAAGCAGTGAGTTTCTGTTCATGGAGATGAACAATTTGGTAAGGATTATTGGTGACAGTTGTATAATATAATTAATGTAATTAATATTATTAAAATGTATACATGAAAAATGTTAAATGAGAAAACGTTGTTATACATATCTTTATAATAAAATAAGAAAAAAAAACGTAAAAGAAAAACATCATAATCTCTTAGCATCTCATTGTACTCTTCCAGAAATTTTCTAATTTATATTAAGCAATTATAATCTCACATGCTTAGTTTTCAATTCTTCAACTTTTAATTAAAAATACAGAGGTACACAAGGTACCCTTTCTGACATTATACATTTCATAAAAAGTTCAGTTATACAACTTATATGGAAAACGTTTAAAAATCAAATTGGAGATCATACTATACATAGTGCAACTCCTATGGAAAACCATTTGGTGGTTCCTCAAAAAGTTAAACATAGAACTACCATTGTTGTTGTCCTTAGGTGCCACTGCATTGGTTGTGACTCATAGTGACCCTGGGTAGGTACAACATAACGAAACGCTGCCCGGTCCTGTGCCATCCTCACAAATGTTGCCTGCTTAAACTCATTGTCGCAGACACTGTGTCAATCCATCTTGTTGAGTCTTCCTCTTTTTTGCTGACCAAGTACTTGACCATGCATGATACATTTCTCCAGGGACTGGTCTTTACTGACAACATGATCAAAGCACGAAGATGCAGTCTTGCCATCCTTGCTTCTAAGGAGTATTCTGGCTGTATTTCATCCAAGATGGATCTGTTTCTTTTTCTGGTACTTCATGGTATATTCAACATTCATCATCAACACCAGAATTCAAGTGCATCAATTCCTCTTTGGTCTTCCTTATTTCACTGTCCAGCTTTCACATACAAGGAAGGCAATTTAAAATACCAGAGCTTGGATCAGGTGTACCTTAGTTTTCAAAGTGACATCTTGGCTCTTTAACATTTTAAAGAGGTCTTTTGCAGCAAATTTGTCTGATACAATACATTGTTTGATTTTTTTTTTTTTTTTTTTGACTGCTGCTTCCATGGGTATTGATTGTGGATCCAAATAAAATGAAATTCCTTCACAACTTCAATCTTTTCCCTGTTTATCATGATGGTCTTTATTGGTCCAGTTGTGAGGATTTTTGTTTTATATGTTGCAGTATAATCCATACTGAAGGCTTTAGTCTTTCATCTTCATCAATAATTGCTTCAAATTCTCCTTGTTTTTTTAGCAAGCAAGGTTGTGACAGCTGAATATCTTGGGTTGCTAATGAGTCTTCCTCCAATCCTGATGCCACATTCTTCTTCAGACAGTCCAGCTTGGATTACTTGCTCAGACTGAATAAGTATGGTGAAAGGATACAACCCCAACTTACACATCTCCCGATTTTAAACCATGCCGTATGCCCTTGTGCTGTTTGAATGACTACCTCTTGGTCTATGTTCAGATTCCTTATGAACACAATTAAGTGTTATGAAATTCCCATTCTTCGCAAGGTTATCCATAATTTGTTATGACCCATCCAGTTAAATGCCTTTGCATAGTCAATAAAACACAGGTAGACACCTTTCTGGTTATCTCTTCTGTAATTGTTTTTAAATTATTTTCAGCAAAACTTTGTGTGTGATATTAATGGTATTACCTGATAATTTCTGCATTCTGTTGGATCACCTTCATTGGAATGGGCACAAATACAGATCTTTTCCAGTTGGCTTGCCAGGTATCTGTCTTTCAAACTTCTTGGCATAGACAAGTGAGCACTTCCAGTGTTGCCATCTGTTTGTTGGAACATCTCAATTGGTATTCCATCAATTCCCGGAGACAACTTCTTCCTTCAATACTATCATTTTTTTGATCATATGCTACCTCCTGAAATGGCTGAATGTTGACCAGTTCTTTTTGGTGCAGTGACTCTGTATTCCTTCCATCTTCTTTTGATGCTTCCTATGTCTTCCAATATATGCCCATAGAACTTTCGATATTTCAACTTGAGGCCTGAATTTTTGCTTCAGTTCTTTATGCTTGAGAAATGCTGAGCATGTTCTTTCCTTTTGTTTTTCTAACTCCAGTTCTTTTCACATCACATTATAATACCTAACTCTGTCTTCTCGAGCTGCCCTTTGATATCTTCTGCTAAGCCTTTTTACTTCATTTCTTCCATTCATTTTAGCTACTATCCATTCAAGAGTAAGTTTAATAGCCTCTTCTGACATCCATTTTGGTCTTTTCTTTTTTCTGTCTTTTTAATGACCTTTAGCTTTCTTCATGTATAGATGTCCTTGATGTCATTCCACAACTGATTTGGTCTTTGGTACTGGTGTTCAATGTATCAAATCTATTCTTATGATGGTCTTTAAATTCAGGTGGGATGTAATCAAAGTCATATTATGGGTCTTGTGGATTTGTTTTAATTTTCTTCAGCTTCAATTTGCTTCTTTGTGTGGACTGTGATGGTCTGTTGTTTCTGAGGCATCGTGGCATTGTTGTATTTAGATCTCTGTTAACTGCTTGTGAAGAGCAGCCAAGGGTGATTCAGGCTCTTCTTGGTGGTTTTTTATCATTGGCCCGTTGGTGGAGAAGGTGGCAGTGGCTGTCGCTCAGTAAGTGAAGTTGCAGGAGGTATGGGTGTAGTTGTGTCTTATGGGGACTGCTGTTGTCTCCACTCAATCAGACCCAAATTACAATCGAATAACCTTCAAAAAACTTGTCAGTCTTGCAGGTCCCGAGTGTCCTTGGGGTTGCTGGAAAGCAGAACGTGTTCTTAAGCCCCAGGTATCTGCAAGAGCGCTGTCTCTTTAAATATCCAAAATAGTCAAGCCACTTTTTAAGCCTTCAAAATGGCGGTGCCCTCCGGACCGGCAAAGTCCACAGCTCAGCCCACCTTTCTCTTCACCTTCTCTGTTTGTTCCCCAGCCACCATGCACAGTCCTCCATGCA